ATGTGCTTGTTTTCATTACATAAATGCTTTAAAATTCACAAAGTGACGTTAGCTGATGAATATTATCTCATAGAATAACAAATATAAGCTCTCCTAAGCCTTAGTTTACCACAGACCTTATGTTCTGTGTTTATCCCCCCAAAAAACATTAATTTCCCCATAGGCTTTGACCAAGGACCCATGTCGGAGTTAGCGCCTACAAAAAGATGCCATTACTATTGCTTTCAATTAGGAATTGGCAATAGAGCAGAAACAGACTGCCACCCAGGATAGGGCAACCCCCAAAAGGAAGCCACAAATGATCTTTCTACGCCAGTTAACAATATCAAAAGAGTATGTTTTAATTATAAATACAACACATTCAATGAGCTTTGATAACATGGTAACACAGTCTTTCATGTCATGGTCTCTATAGTCTAGGACTGACACATATTGCCCTATTATCTGCATCTTTGGTCTGCTGTTGCTTTGTAACCTTTCCTCCTGTTTTCACAATATGCATAAATGGATGGTTCCACGACTATAGTGCCTTTTGTATCCTTTCGATATTTTTTTGTAGTAATTGTGCACCAATATTGAAAAGCCTGTTATATTAAATTAAGTGGCCATTTAATATAGACCTCATGAAAAATTCATTAACAGATTTTTTACATGAATAAAGACTTGCTATAGTGCCAAAAATCTGCATTTTGACATGTCCCTCCATGTTTTTCAGACTTCTAGTATGATTTTAACCCACTTAACCCAAACATGTTCTCAATCATTGTAAAGCACTAGTTATTTTATTGCTTTGACAAAGTCATTTCTGAAGGTTATTATTTATTTCACGCGGTAAGTGAATAATTTACATTTGTCCCTCATTTTAGTGGCCACCCTGTTATATTAATGGAACTCTAATCTAAATATATTTTTTTAAAGCAACTATGAACATCTAATAGTCAAATCATAGTGTAAAAGCTTTCTGGTCATTTTCTGGTGTTGTGTGGTGGAAAACTTAGTGGTTTTTTTTGTGGGGGTAGATCAGCTTAATATTGCAGATAGATTGTTACTTTCCAACCCAGCCACCCTTTCCCCACTTTGAGTAAACTAGTGTACAACAACGTCTAGGCCTCTTCTTCCAGCCCATACCCACTATCTACATTTTATGGACACAGTCAATTTTACAATAATTACATTTTGTTTGTTCTTTCTCCTGAACTTCTAGTCTCAACCTCTCCGATCATTTTCATGATGTCCATCCGGTTTGCTTCTATATGCCATATCTTTCTAACTGTGCTCCTTCACAAAAGCTCCCAACCTACAACCCATACACTTATTATGGACACAGCGTGCCTACATTATTAGTTATCTTGTTATTGTTTGTTAGTTGTTATTAGTCCCATCCTTCAATTCCATTCAACACCTCCCATCTATCTTTTAACAGCATCCATATAGGATTTCTATTTGCCATATATACAGTGGGGGGAAAAAAAGTATTTAGTCAGCCACCAATTGTGCAAGTTCTCCCACTTAAAAAGATGAGAGAGGCCTGTAATTTTCATCATAGGTACACGTCAACTATGACAGACAAATTGAGAAAAAAAATCCAGAAAATCACATTGTAGGATTTTTAATGAATTTATTTGCAAATTATGGTGGAAAATAAGTATTTGGTCACCTACAAACAAGCAAGATTTCTGGCTCTCACAGACCTGTAACTTCTTCTTTAAGAGGCTCCTCTGTCCTCCACTCGTTACCTGTATTAATGGCACCTGTTTGAACTTGTTATCAGTATAAAAGACACCTGTCCACAACCTCAAACAGTCACACTCCAAACTCCACTATGGCCAAGACCAAAGAGCTGTCAAAGGACACCAGAAACAAAATTGTAGACCTGCACCAGGCTGGGAAGACTGAATCTGCAATAGGTAAGCAGCTTGGTTTGAAGAAATCAACTGTGGGAGCAATTATTAGGAAATGGAAGACATACAAGACCACTGATAATCTCCCTCGATCTGGGGCTCCACGCAAGATCTCACCCCGTGGGGTCAAAATGATCACAAGAACGGTGAGCTAAAATCCCAGAACCACACGGGGGGACCTAGTGAATGACCTGCAGAGAGCTGGGACCAAAGTAACAAAGCCTACCATCAGTAACACACTACGCCCCCAGGGACTCAAATCCTGCAGTGCCAGACGTGTCCTCCTGCTTAAGCCAGTACATGTCCAGGCCCGTCTGAAGTTTGCTAGACTGCATTTGGATGATCCAGAAGAGGATTGGGAGAATGTCATATGGTCAGATGAAACCAAAATAGAACTTTTTGGTAAAAACTCAACTCGTCGTGTTTGGAGGACAAAGAATGCTGAGTTGCATCCAAAGAACGCCATACCTACTGTGAAGCATGGGGGTGGAAACATCATGCTTTGGGGCTGCTTTTCTGCAAAGGGACCAGGACGACTGATCCGTGTAAAGGAAAGAATGAATGGGGCCATGTATCGTGAGATTTTGAGTGAAAACCTCCTTCCATCAGCAAGGGCATTGAAGATGAAACGTGGCTGGGTCTTTCAGCATGACAATGATCCCAAACACACCGCCCGGGCAACGAAGGAGTGGCTTCGTAAGAAGCATTTCAAGGTCCTGGAGTGGCCTAGCCAGTCTCCAGATCTCAACCCCATAGAAAATCTTTGGAGGGAGTTGAAAGTCTGTGTTGCCCAGCGACAGCCCCAAAACATCACTGCTCTAGAGGAGATCTGCATGGAGGAATGGGCCAAAATACCAGCAACAGTGTGTGAAAACCTTGTGAAGACTTACAGAAAACGTTTGACCTGTGTCATTGCCAACAAAGGGTATATAACAAAGTATTGAGAAACTTTTGTTATTGACCAAATACTTATTTTCCACCATAATTTGCAAATAAATTCATAAAAAATCCTACAATGTGATTTTCTGGAATTTCTTTCCTCATTTTGTCTGTCATATTTGACGTGTACCTATGATGAACATTACAGGCCTCTCTCATCTTTTTAAGTGGGAGAACTTGCACAATTGGTGGCTGACTAAATACTTTTTTCCCCCCACTGTATTTCAACTGTACTGTGATGTCTTACAAAAGTTCTGAACCTTTCTATTCTCATTGTTTCTACAGATTTTTGCTAATAGTATTATTATGTTATTGATCAATTGACTATGACTTTTCAGATCACCCAGTAGTGCTATCTGCAGGGTTAGCTCCAGGTAAATATTGCAATCCTTTAGCCATTCCTGGACCTGTGTCCAAAAACAAGCTACAAATGGACAGTACCAAAACAAATTATCTAATGATTCTGTCTCTTCGCAGCAAAATCTGCAGAGCTGGGAAGATTGTATCCCCCATATAAATAACATTCTATTGGTAGCAAGAATTGTATATAATAATTTTAATTGAAAGATTCTAAGTTTTGAATCCGGTGTCGTTTTGCGTATCAGTTCATAAACACTATGCCATGGGATCGGTACGTCAAAAATCTCTTCCCAACTATTTTGCAATCTATATGGGACAGCTGTCAATCCTTTGGTCCTTAAATTAAACTGATATACTTTTTTATTTATCACAGTTTTCCTTAACCACTTATGTTCTTTAATGCAAGGCCGACAGACAAGTTCCTTACTTTCTCCACCTTCCACTTTCCTCTTCCATTTTTGCGGTAAGGCTGCAATTATTTGGTTGTAATTTTGGGTAGAGCAGACATTTCCATATGTTTTTGTTAGCTGCATGTGCGACATACCTCCACCAGTCCTACCGATGATATCATTTACAAAGATTATACCTTTTTTTAACATTTTGTCAAAAAAAAATTTTTTTGTCAATTAGATTATTTGAGTTTAACCACAATATTTGTTGCATTATTTGTTCTGTAGTTTCTGGAGGATTAAATTGAAATTGCAACCAACTTTCTATGGCTTGTTTTAGAAATAGTGATATCTGGGAGATGATTTGCTTTTCAAATAACTGAAAGTGAGTGGTTGTAATCTGAGCGTTACCCATAGATAGATTGGGTAGAAATGTTTTAACAATTATGTTTTTGGGGTGAAGCTTGCATTCAATTGCCCCTCCCTATTGCACACAAGTTTCCATTCCCCCTATCACAAGGGGAGTTGTGATATCACAAAGGTCCAATGCAACAGTTTTTATCTCAATATAAAATACTTTTTGGGTAACAAGAACCTTACTGTGATTATTCTTTACCATTTTAATTGAAAACAAAGCAAGAATTTTGCTAGCATTATCTAGGAGTAGTCTGAGTGGGGAGGGGAAAAGTGGAAATTAGCTGTTATTGGCAGAGGTTTGGCACTCTCTTTCTTATTGGTCTATTAATTTACTGTATGGTGATGTCACCGTGGAAGGCCAAAACTCCATCCCACCAAAACAGGCTGAAATTTCAGGCAGTCGTTTCAAATAGCTCTTACACTAAAAGGGCATTATCTGCATTTTCACAATTTCACAGTATTATTCCAACCTCAGTGTGGAAATATATATAAAACACAGAAAAATATTTTAATTGGCACTTCATTTTTCTTAATTTAACCTCGAGATGGGAAAACATGTTTTTATTAAGTTTAACATGTGCGCTTTATGATTAATTTGTTTAATTAGGTGAGAGAAAGTTTTGGGGGACCTAATTACGCTACCCAAAAGGTACTCTATTGGTGGAACGACCCAAATATACTGGTCAAAATAGCATAAATACAAAGAAAATATATTAAAATATTAAAGATAAATATTTAAATACAGTATTAAAATAGTTAACATTCATAAAATGACTGTGCATAGTGCAGCACTAACTCAAAAGTATGTGGTTTGCAGCCTGTAGAAATTGATACGGTTTCAGTTGCACTACATGGTCTCAGAGTAGTTCATTGTTATTGAAATGACTTTAAGGCTTCCAGTCCAATAAGTCCTCTGGTCTAGTGCCTCACCAAGACAGTGAGTGGGGCTCCACTGACACTTAATAACCTGGTAGGAATGGAACCCCCACCCTCATTGGTCCTTCATTGGTGTCTCTGAGCCTCTCTCCTCCTCCTTCTCTTCTTGTGGTCTGAGTGTGCAGTCTTCCAGTAGTCTGTCTTCACTTTTGTCCTCCTGGTCTCTCTCCCCCTCTTCCTCTCTCTGTGGTCTAGGTGTGCAGTCTTCCTGTAGTCTCAGAGAGAAGTCTTCCAGTAGTCTGAGTGTGTAGTCTTCCAGTGGTCTGGGTGTGTAGTCTTCCAGTGGTCTGGGTGCGTAGTCTTCCAGTGGTCTGGGTGTGTAGTCTTCCAGTGGTCTGGGTGTGTAGTCTTCCAGTGGTCTGGGTGTGTAGTCTTCCAGTGGTATGTCTTCATTTTGGTCCCCCTCTTCTTCTTCTTCTTCTTCTTTAGCTTCCTGTGGTCTGTCTTCACCTTGGTCCTCCTGGTCTCCAACCAGCACCTTGCTGTACAGCTTCTGCTGCTCCTCTTTGAAAGTGTTTTTCACCTTCCCTCGCTTCAGCCCTCCATCCCTTAGAGCAGACAGATAAACACAGGGAAGAGCAGTTTTGTACAACCCTTGTTGTGTACACTTGCAAAAATGTAGACACCATGATAAACACACAGCTAGGAATCGTGCTAGACAGAATCTGTGTGAGTGTGTGTGATGTGTGTGATGCGTATTCACTGAAACTCACCAGAGCAGGTCCACCAGTCCTCCCTGCGTGGCGATGGCTGCTTTTACTCTGTTGGCAAACTGCACCGCGTCCTCTCCCTCCTACGCAGACAACCACAGAGATGGCTCAGTCAGACAATTAACATGGAGTCTCTATACCAGGATGGAGTTGTGGACTTATCACTGTCCACATGATTTAGGTCTAGACCTTAGGGGAAACCCTTGTTTATAACTGCATTATACAAATCAATAATAACAACTTTACTGGGCTAAACCAAAAGAAAGGCCACACCTCTCTGCTCATAGGTGGCAGGTACCAGACGCTGCAGACAATGGCCCAGCTGCTCATCATCCTCAGCAGGTAGTTGACCATCCCAAACTTACTGCTGTTCCAGAACGCATCGCCAAACCTAGGGTCATACTGTCACAGAGACACAGGGAGAGGTCAAAGGGTGTGAGAGGGAGCGGGGTTAGGTGGTTGATAGATAAAGTGGCGGTAGAGAGGTAGAGCGAGAGGGAGAGACTACCTTAATGGCCACAGGGTAGACAGTGCAGCCTATCTCAAAGCTGCCCTTTTTGAACATCATCACTGAGGTATTGTTGATGCAGGTGCCTGAGTGAGAAGCACATTGTCACGCCGCGGCATTACACACTCACACAGATCCGACACAGGGTGAATCTTTAGATATCATTACAGCCTTCATTAGTTGCCTTAGCTCATCTCTATTTGAGCAGCACTCGATCCATCAGAAAAGGGTCAATTTTCATACTAACCCTCTGGGAAGATGAGGATGGGGTGTTTAGTTTTGTCTGCTACATGATTGCTAAGCCTGGAAAAATAAAATACAGAACTGTGTAAATAACATGTTAATAATTAGGACGGTTATGGATGAAGACCGTCATGAAAATAAAATAACCGTCATAACCCTGACTGAATGATCACGATGCAGCAGCATATTTCTATGGCAGCACATGCAGTCCGGAGTGGAGAAAATGTGCAACGAAAACCATCATCCAAAATTCCATGACCGTCACTGCGCTACTAATAATATAACTGTTTTCACCACATTAGAAGATTGTGCCAAAATTGATTTGCTGTTGAATCAGGTGTGTCCAGGGTTACAATAAACATGTGTACTGTTGGGGGTACTGGAGGACCAGGGTTGGGAAACACTGTCTTCGACAACAATCTGACAATGGGAAATGGAAGGAAAGTATGGTTTCTCAACATGCAGCTGCAATATTACCTTTTGGCCACAAGGTGACGGTCTTTGACTTCAGATCTCTCAAACCAGATGTGGGGGCTGGATTTCACCATGGCTCTCTGGACTACCCCGATCAGACCACCATGGATCTGGCCAACCTGAGAGAGGAAGTGAAGACTGAGTGAGAATCTTGAACTAAACATCTTGGCAAACAATGGGCTATACATCTGTCTCCCAAATGCCCCACACATTCCGTACTAGCACACATACACAGACACACACAGAAACGCACACACACAGAGACGCACACAGACACAGCTTTGAATAGACACACAATCCTTACTGTTACACACCAGGATTTACATACAGTACCATAGAATAGCAGCCATCATTGGCCAGGATGATGACGTCAATGGGAGTTGTGTGATTGGCCACACAGATGCCTCCATTCTTTGGTTTGTTCTCACTGTGGACAGAGCAAAGAAACGACTGAATGAGACACATTAACAAAATCGCCTTTCTCATAAAACGACCAACAACCAGTGTGTGCCACCCTAACTGACATACAGTGCCTTCAGAAAGTAGTCATACCCCTTGACTTATTCCACATATTGTGTTACAGCCTGAATTCAAACTGGATTCAATTATTTATTTTTTCTCAACCATCTACACATAATACCCCATAATGACAAAGTGAAAACTTGAAAACAGAGATTTTTGCAAATTTATTGAAATTGAAATAAAGTAAAAAACTATTCACAACCCTTTGCTATGACACTCCAAATTTAGCTCAGGTGCATACCATTTCCTTTGATCATCCTTGAGATGTCTCTACAACTTGATTGGAGTCCACATGTGGCCAATTAAATTGTTTGGACATGATTTAGAAAGATACACACCTGTCTAGATAAGGTCCCACAGTTGACAGTGCATGTCAGAGCAGAAACTATACCATGAAGTCCAAGGAACTGTCTGTAGATCTCAGAGATATAATTGTGATGAGGCATATATCTGGGGAAGGGTATAACGTTTTTGAAAATACATTGAAAAAATATGGAACTACCCAGACTCTGCCTAGAGCTGGCTGTCCAATCAAACTGAGCAACCGGGCAAGAAGGACCTTGGTCATTGAGGTGACCAAGAACCCAATCACCACTCTGACAGAACTACAGAGTTCCTTGGCTGAGATGGGAGAACATGCCAGAAGGACAGCAGTGTCTACAGCACTTCACCAATCTGGGCTTTATGGGAGAGTGGCCAGACGGAAGCCACTCCTGGAAAAAAAGGCACATGACAGCACGCCTGGAGTTTGCAAAAAGGCACATGAAAGACTCAGCGCATAAGGCAAAAGATGATGTGGTCTGATGAGACAAAAACAGAACTCTTTGGCCTGAATGCAAAGTGCTATGTCTGGAGAAAACCAGGCACAGTTCATCACCCGTCTAACACTATCCCTACCATGAAGCATGGTGGTGGCAGCATCATGCTATGGGGATGCATTTCAGCAGCAGGGACTGGGAGACTGTTAAGGATAGAGGGAACAATGAATGGAGCCAAATACAGGCAAATCCTTGATGAAAACCTGCTTCAGAGTGCAAAAGACTTTAGACTGGGGTGAAGATTTACTTTCCAACAGGACAATGACCCCAAGCATACAGCCAAGGTAAGGCTGGAATGGCTTTAGAACAAGAATGTGAAAGTCCTTGAGTGGCCCAGCTAAAGTCCAGACCTGAATCCCATTGAAAATCTGTGGAAAGACTTGAAGATTGCTGTTCACCGCCACTCTCCATCTAACTTAACAGAGCTTGAGAAAATCAGCAAGAAAGAATGGGATAAAATCCCCAAATCCAGATGTGCAAAGCTGATACAGACATACCCAAGACAACTCAAAGCTGAAATCGCCGCCAAACGTGCTTCTACAAAGTATTGACTCAGGGTTGTGAATACTTATGTAAATTAAATATTTCTTTATTTCACGTTCAATAAATTTGCTAACATTTCTAAAAACATGTTTTCACTTTGTCATTATCGGGTATTGTGTGTAGATGAGTGAGATAAAAAAATCTATTTAATCCATTTTGAATTCAGGCTGTAACGCAAACTGTGGAATAAGTCAAGGGGTATGAATACTTTCTGAAGGCACTGTAAGACTGTCTTTGAGCTCAGTACAAACTAGGGTGGCGAGTCATTAAATGGGCAGAAAGCTGTGACACAATACAGTAGGTTTGTGTCTCTGTTGTCTGAGCTGATGTTGTGGATACTAGCCAGTGAGTATTTGGTTGGTCTACAGTACCTGTTGTGGTAGGTGATGATGGCAGTGAGGGATCGGACACAGATGCGATAAGACATCAGATGAATCTTCTCACTGAGGTACGTCCTTAACCTGAGGAGATCAACACACTGACAATAAGCCTTTCACCAATACAGAATCTTCTTGTAGATGAGGTACTGTAAGTTTGTGTGTATTCTGAGGGTATGTTGGTGGAAACGTACCAGCCACTTGGTAAGAAGCCCACTATGGTAGTCAAGACCACAAGCAGACCAATACCAGACGCTGCCAGAGTAACCCTGTAGAACACAAAACAGAACTTCAGTCAGTCCACCACACATCAATTTAGTTGACAACATATGTTGTAATGTCCAAAAAACACATAAAAGCGGTCTTTCATGCTAAATAACCACAATTCTCATAAATCCAATTTGTAGCCTTCTTGACGCCCACAACAGCTCCTTGTTGGCGTATAACTCGCAAATAGGTTTCCTGCCTTAGATGGTGACCCTGACCCCTGACTCTTGACCTCTGACCTGAGTGGCAGCAGGAAGCCATAGCGGATGAAGAGACCCAGTCCCCAGAGCACGCTGAGCCGCAGGCTGATGTGGCGGAAGTTGTAGTTGCTGCGTGTCAGCAGGTTCCAGGACTCCAGCTCCTGAGCAGAGAAGCGCTTGGTCACCTCATCATCCACGATGCTCTCCACCCCCCGCCGGCAGAAATACATGATGTCCGCCATCTCAAACTCAGGCTCAGAGCTCAGAGTGGTGCCGTTGGCACGGAGCTCCTGGATCTCCTGCTCCAGAGAAGACAGCTCTTTAGCTATGATACCTGAGACAGAGAGGGAGGGAGGGAGGGAGGGAGATAGAAAGAGAGACAGAGTTAATGCAACAACAGAGACATTGCCATTCCCATAAGTGAGAGATGTACATCAAAAGGTCGTACCATTGCTATAGGGTTTATAAAGATGTTGATTCTTCTCCTTTGCGCCTCTCTCCATCCGCACAGTAGCCCACTAAAAAGAGGGGGGTATCATACATTAATCATACATGAACTTTCTTTAAGCCATGAATTCTATCCCTAAGGTATTTTAAGCCATATTGTAAAGCTTATGACATTTATATTCATAATTCTTATAATTTGATGAGAAGCAATCATTCCTCTGTGCCATGATATCATCATTCATAAGCTTGAAGTTGCATCACAGATAGTCTTCGGACCAGACTGTATCTCATAAATGATTATGTTAGCCTGGCCTAGCAAGACTACATCACATGGTACAACTGACAGGGAGTCAAGAGCTGAGTAAGCAGGTCCACAGAGAATAGGAACACAACAGCTATCTTAGACAGGGCCATAAGCATGAAACAGGCAGCCTGGAGTATTTGGAGGCATGTGGTTTCCCCTGAGGGTGAGACTGTAGTGAAAACAGTCCACAGCACTGTATGACCAAAAAAGATGTTCACTGTGTCTTTTATGGGTCAGCAATTAGCAATCAACATAATAACAGTAGCTGCTTCAAGTTGGCCAACTCCACTATTTGTGGCTCCCTTAATGTAAACAGTGCTACCTGCAAAGACCACTTCACTGCATGTTATATACATAACCACAGACCATATATTACAGAGCAGTGTACCTCTTCATGTTATTGTATATTAGAGGTATGGACCCGGATAGACCCGAGGACAATCAGACCACGGACCCGAACCAACCCGATCATTTTTTTTAAAGGAGGACCCGAACGGACCCAAGAACAATCAGACCCAAACCAGAAGTGGTCGGGTCCATTCGGGTCTATCAGCTGTGGCTACATAGAAGTTGGACCTGCTCGGGTCCCGGGTCGGATATTCAGGTTCGGGTGGACCCGTGAAGGCCTCTACTGTATATCCCTTCCTAAACCATTTCCTCCACAATTCCTGTGGCTGCCCCACACCTAGGCCTAATTCACTCATGATTTTCTTGAAAAGAACATCAACCCTTTGTTTGAATGTGTAGGAGATTTTAATAATATTGTAGATATGAAATCTCTAGTAATTTTAAAGGCAATGCAGCTAGGCTAATTTAGCACTGTGACATGCCCCTGACAGATGCATGCGGTAGGGGAGAAGCAAAGACCACACACACTGCCACCAGAGGAAAAATTTGACAAATCCACTGAGAGTAGTGGTCTCTTTCGTGTGCTCACTTTTAGTGAATGGCAAAGAAAATTATATGAATTGGTCCATAGAACAATGTCCATAGTGCCATTTATTCTCAGTGAAGTTGACTGACCACATTAGAAAAAAAAAACAGCCAAGCTGAGGTGACTTCTCTCTCCACAAAGCAGATCAGACACAGCCTGGGGTGGAATAAGGGCAGCTATTCTAAATTGAGCCTGGCCTTAGATGAACGCCCCTTACTGCTAAGCTAATTCAAAATAGAGGCATAGTTCAAGTTCATACATAAACATGAAGTAATTGTGTCATACCTTTTTCAGTTCTAGAGTATGCAAGTCGCCTATCAAAATAAGCGTGTTTTTCTCAAAGCAGGCATTCACTAAGGGCCCGATTCTGACTTAGGAATTTACGCCCTTTCCTACGCACTTCTCAGTATTCGGTATTGAGACTTACAGTGCCTTGCAAAAGTATTCATCCCCCTTGGCGTTTTTCCTATTTTGTTGCATTACAACCTGTAATTTAAATGGATTTTTATTTGGATTTCATGTAATGGACATACACAAAATAGTCCAAATTGGTGAAGTGAAATGAAAAAAATAACTAGTTTCAAAAAATTCTAAAAAATAAATAACGGAAAAGTGGTGCGTGCATATGTATTCACCCCCTTTGCTATGAAGCCCCTAAATAAGATCTGGTGCAACCAATTACCTTCAGAAGTCACATAATTTGTTAAATAAAGTCCACCTGTGTGCAATCTAAGTGTCACATGATCTGTCACATGATCTCAGTATATATACACACCTGTTCTGAAAGGCCCCAGAGTCTGCAACACCACTAAGCAAGGGGCACTACCAAGCAAGCGGCACCATGAAGACCAAGGAGCTCTCCAAACAGGTCAGGTACAAAGTTGTGGAGAAGTACAGATCAGGATTGGGTTATAAAAAAATATCAGAAACTTTGAACATCCCACAGAGCACCATTAAATCCATTATTAAAAAATTGAAAGAATATGGCACCACAACAAACCTGCCAAGAGAGGGCCGCCCACCAAAATTCATGGACTAGGCAAGGAGGGCATTAATCAGAGAGGCAACAAAGACACCAAAGATAACCCTGAAGGAGCTGCAAAGCTCCACAGCGGAGATTGGAGTATCTGTCCATAGGACCACTTTAAGCCGTACATTCCACAGAGCTGGGCTTTACGGAAGAGTGGCTAGAAAAAAGCCATTGCTTAAAATAAACAAATAAACAAACACGTTTGGTGTTCGCCAAAAGCCATGTGGGAGACTCCCCAAACATATGGAAGAAGGTACTCTGGTCAGATGAGACTAAAATTGAGCTTTTTTGCCATCAAGGAAAACGCTATGTCTGGCGCAAACCCAACACCTCTCATCACCCCGAGAACACCATCCCCACAGTGAAGCATGGTGGTGGCAGCATCATGCTGTGGGGATATTTTTCCCATCGGCAGGGACTGGGAAACTGGTCAGAATTGAAGGAATTATGGATGGCGCTAAATACAGTGAAATTCTTGAGGGAAACCTGTTTCAGTCTTCCAGAGATTTGAGACTGGGATGGAGGTTCACCTTACAGCAGGACAATGACCCTAAGCATACTGCTAAAGCAACACTTGAGTGGTTTAAGGGGAAACATTTAAATGTCTTGGAATGGCCTAGTCAAAGCCCAGACCTCAATCCAATTGAGAATCTGTGGTATGACTTAAAGATTGCTGTACACCAGCGGAACCCATCCAACTTGAAGGAGCTGGAGCAGTTTTGCCTTGAAGAATGGGCAAAAATTCCAGTGTGCCAAGCTTATAGAGATATACCCCAAGAGACTTGCAGCTATAATTGCTGCAAAAGGCAGCTCTACGAAGTATTGACTTTGGGGGGGTGAATAGTTCTGCACGCTCAAGTTCTGTTTTTTTGTCATTTCTTGTTTGTTTCACAATAAAAAATATTTAGCATCTTCAAAGTGGTAGGCATGTTGTGTAAATCAAATGATACAAACCCCCAAAAAATCTATTTTAATTCCAGGTTGTAAGGCAACAAAATAGGAATAATGCCAAGGGGGGTGAATACTTTTGCACGCCACTGTACCTTATTCAGTCACGTAACGCTCTCTTGCGCGCTCTGAATACATTTCAGTCAACTACTGAAAACCCTCCCACTTGCTGGCCAACAGATTTTCTCGTGGACTTTTCATTCAATAGGGTTTTCAGTGCTTTTATCTTAAGCCATCCCTTTAAATACGGTGTACCTTTTAGTTAGAATTTTGTCTACAGACTCACTAGAATATGTTGAGAGAACGGGTTCTGAATATTAGGGATCAATGAAAGAAAGGTATCTAAATATATGCATATTCGTCTCCGTTTCAGCACCAATTGGTAGATTTAAAAATACACTGATCTTGTAGATTATGTAGGTTTAGGAAAGTATTTATGAATCATTAAAAAAACAGGTTTGGAGATCCTTTACGTACGAAAGAAAACTGTGGTTTGATTCATTCAGAAAATTGCCACATTCAGTTCTTCAACCCATGGTAATGTTGGAAAATTAGTGTAGAATAATTATAATATGGAGAATAGTGTACAATAGTAGCCTATACCCTTGTCTATTGCCTGCACTAACCATGTAACTGTGTTATGACACGGCCAAGTATTGCGCCGTGCTTCAGGTTGAAACTGTTACGGCTTGGTCTGCGCACCGCTCCATAACTATTTAATTAGCCTACATTTCTTTTCTTTTTATATGATCAACTGTTACTAATGATCCTCAGCAATAACCACAGGGTCGTGCCGTCGTTTACAGAGGAAACAAATGCAGGTAAACAAAACAATGTATTTAAATGGAATGATAATGTAACCTATACCAACTGAAGGGAACTAACAGTAAATTGGTAGTTGAATATGTGTGGTTATTAGGCCTACTGACGGTCGATACTGATAGTGGCTAATATTTAACATGATTGAAATAGGAAACATTACTGTGGGAAAGTTTATATGTTGCTATGCTTCAGTTTTCTGCCATATGACTGGTTTTATGGGCGGCGCACAATTGGCCCAGCGTCGTCCAGGGTAGGGGAGGGAATGGCTGGCAGGGATGTAGCTCAGTTGATAGAGCATGGCGTTTGCAATGCCAGGGTTGTGTGTTCGATTCCCACGGGGGGCCAGTATAAAAAAATATGTATTCACTAACTGTAAGTCGCTCTGGATAAGAGCGTCTGCTAAATGACTAAAATGTAAATGTTAAATGTAAATGTTTCACAAGTCTCCAGCGATTATAAGGTAAAATAGATCTAAAACAAGTGTAATATATATTTACAATTCCCTTATCCAAACTGATTACTCATTTACCTAGCTCTTATCAAGTTCTAAATTATAGTGCATGAAGAATGGTGTTATTTCTATCAGAAAAAATTAAGTAGATGCTTTTTCCACTTGGAACTGGTAGGTTCGCTAGACCTTATTCGCACATAAAGGTGGTGGAATTATTAGGGAATTAAGTCAAGGTTAGAATATGGTGTATCTGTAGACACACCTATTCTCATGCTTAAGTTCAAGGTCAGAATACGTATATAGAGAAAAGTCCATAAAAAAGGGAATTACATTCCACTTACACACTCTTAGCTTGTCAGAATCGGACCCATTGTGACAGTGTGAAGCAAACTCACCTCAAAGACCTTGAGAAGGCTCTTCATGTACAGTCTGCGGATCCCAATGGACACTCCAAGGATGGCCGGCACGACCATGACTAGCAGCGAGCTGAATCCCACAGTGAAGGATATGCCAAGGACCATACACAGCAGGTTATCAAAGGGGAGGAGGAACCAGCCCATGTTGGCAGCAGGTGAGGACAGGGCTGTGATGCAGTGGAGTGTGAGGGGATATGGCAGGGAACAGGGAGGACTGGTGAAGGGTTGAAGAGGAGAGGTCCAGGAACAGGACTAAGGCTGTAGTCTAGTCCTCTAGTCCCTTTATAGCCTCAGCTTCTGAAGCATGCGCTGAAAGAAGGGCGTCATGGGCACATCAGGCCTGGGACAGCACGTGTCAATGTCTAGGAGAGCAGACTGGTCTCATCATGAAGACTATAATAAAGGATCCAGCAATGTCAGAGCATCCAAAACTTCACAGTCCTCAACTTGTTCCATCCTTCAAAATAAAAAGGTACACTGTAAACCACCAGTCTGTCTGTATAAGTTGTTGTTTATGGTTCCTTTGCAAAAGGGATGAGACTGCCCTGGAAAAATACAGTTATTGGTGTAGCCATCCTTTATAATGAAGGCTGGTTAAATAGTTAGATGTGGGACATAACTGACGTTCAATTGCCATGTTAACTGAACAGTTAGCTCAGTGTTATGTTTTTACACAGAGTTATTAAACGTCAGTAGCTACAGTACATAACTAGTAGAGGTCCTATATGGTGCTGTTGGAAACTAAACAACACAGCAACAGCTGGTTAGCAGCCTGCTAAATTGATAGCTAAGTAGCGTTACCTAGCAACTACCAGGGTGGCTGATCTTTCCCATTTGGACGATAGATGCAGAACACACAGAACTAGTTCAAACTCATAATTCATTGTTACAAAGTTGTTTAACTTGTTAACATTTAGATAGCTATTTTTCAGATAATGTTAGCTATCTAGCTAGCTAACGCCATAACAAGCTTGAAGCTAGCTAGCAAGCAAGCTGTCATAAATTAGAGTTAACGTTAGCTAACTAAGCTGTTTACTAGCTCTCGAAAACCTTCTCCGTATGTAGCTAGGGTTTTCAGCCATTCTCTTCGGCCAGAGCGTCTACTGTGCTCTGTGAACGCTCCGAATTTACAAAGAGACAATAATTATTCTTCTTCTGTGGGTTTTATGGCGGACTACATCACCAAACAGACAATCTGACAACGCTCTGAATTTACGAACGACCCAGAGCTCACTCTGACACACTGAAGGCAATTTACGAACGCACCCTCATACGAGCGCGCTCTGGAACCCGGAGTAGATAGCCAGAGTGAATTGTGAACGCACCCTTAATAAACTCAACTCCACGGAATCTAAACTAGAACTACTAGCTTGCTAGCTATCAAGTCATTGCCAAATGTGTCGTTTAGCAAACAGTAATGATGTCCAAACCCTATTGCGATTATACTCACAAAATGTCAATGACCTCTTCAGAGTGTGTTTACTCACTTCTTTTTAATTTGGCGAGCTCCAGCAAGGAAAACGTCTATGAGAAACTCATCATCAATCATTAGCATGACTCCCTCCCTGTCTGTAATCATCGACCTCTTACTGCGAGCTAATCCTCTCTCCTTGAGCCTGCGTCTAGTCTGCAGTGCATGGCGGGGGGGGGGGTTGCAGAAATTCGAGGAGTGGCCCTTGCTCAACATTCCATCATCTCTGGTTCCATTTATTTTTGTTACATTGTACCCTCTGTCGCTAGTAGCCTAGGCCAGGGGTTTGCAGGGCCGCGATTTTTTGTGTGTTTTTTTATGAGTATCGCTATCTACAACAGAATAACATCGTGGATACCATTTTTATGTTTTGTGAGCCAATGCTAACTAGCGTTAGTGCAATGCATAGAAGTCTACAGGAACAGTTAGTATCCTAGCTGTTCCAGTTCATCCGACTCTGGGGGAAGTAGATAAATGGCTTTATTGCCAAAATCTCGAACTATTCCTTTAATATGGAGGAAATTACAGTCATTGAAGCTAATTACAAGGGTTTTTCGGTATAGAAAAAAATCTTCTAAATGGCAATTTTCGGGATGAAAAAGCAGTTTCAGTGTCAATTTAAATGACCAAAACCAGATAGAAAGCATGCAGAAAAGAAATTGAGGTATACATATTTTTTAATAATACCATATTTGAGAACTAACATTCAAATAAAAGCTAGACAGTCTGGGAGAATCAAAAACTGGGCATTCAGGGCACATGCCCATTGGTTTTGTTATAATGTTTGACCAGAGGAACATAGCATTAGCCATGTCAAAATCCATAGAATTGCAGGAATTAAAACTGTAAAATTGTCTCTCAGCCCCATGCCAAACTGTGTAGAATGGCTGGAAATGTGCTTAAAATCTGCAAAATGTTTTCTCCACCCGACAAAATTCCTTTACCTTTCTAGCTAATAGCAGAGAGGAAGCCGTGGTGAGAGGGTTTATTTCGTACCAAATCTGCCCACGTTAAGCAGATCATTAATTATTAAGCAAGTGAGGGAGTTTTTTTTATGGGGGGCATTGAGTGTCGAAATTAGTTAAGATAAAAATTAATTGCTATTTTGATATGTGAGGCTTATTTTATCTAATATAAGTTTTGTAATGTTTAGGTTGTTACGAGTGTACAGATATAAGTGTGATGCACGTGACATCCCGGCAACTTTGAGAAAAAACCCTTTATATTGGAGTTGTCCCTGTTGAAATTCGAGTTGGTCTATGCATATTCATGAGGCTAGCAAAGCAACTCACTCTCCATTGATTACAGGTGGTTGACGTCAACACCCCTCATCCAATATTCAAAAAAGTATTCGAATAAGGAGATGTATCCACCAATCCAAAGCGAGGCCATAGGCTTCTCTCTCTCTCTCTCTCTCTCTCTCTCTCTCTCTCTCTCTCTCTCTCTCTCTCTCTCTCTCTCTCTTTCTGTAGTTGTAACTTTCAGTATGCAATTTTACTTCTCTAAATATTTTGTCATCAATGATATTATTTCTGATCCGACAGGTTTTTGCAACCTATAGGCTAATGGATGTTTATCCAGCTAGTTCAGGTCCAGTCTGACTGTTTTCTGCTCTGAATGCAGATAGAGGTCACGCACACAAACACACACACACACAGTGTTTATTGCAACAAAACTCTTTATTCTCATCTACTCTGCTACAAATTGTTTGAGTATTTGGCATGCATAGAATCACAACAAATAAGACTGCCTAAGGGAGACTCGCACAAAAACCACACAAGCACTCAAACATAAACACTATCATCAGTACATAAATACACACTGATCTTTCACACACACACACACACACACCCACACACATTTATTTTACATTTCAGTCATTTAGCAGACGCTCTTATCCAGAGCGACTTACAGTTAGTGAGTGCATAACATTTTTTTTCATACGCACGCACGCACGCACACACACACACTCTCTCTCTCTCACACAGGTTTCAGTGTTATGTTGATCACCACAATAAATTACAGTGTGTATGTTTGTTTGTGGGGCACATTGTTTATTTGCATGCGGAGTGACAGTGTGTCTGGTGGAGCTGCATTCTCAGTATTCATGCAAAACAATGTGAAAATGTTTACATTTTAGTCATTTAGCAGACACTCTTATCCAGAGTGACTTACATGAGCAATTAGGGTTAAGTGCCTTGCTCAAGGGCACATCGACAGATTTTTCACCTAGTCGGCTCAGGAATTAGAACCAGCGACCTTTCGGTTACTAGCACAACGCTCTTAACCACTAAGCTACCTGCCGTGTATTGGGTATTGGGTTCTCATGAAACTGATCTTCCTTTTATCAAAACAGTTACCCATCTATGTTCAAAACTCATATAATGTAACTTGATATGTGTTTGATAATGATAAAATCTAAAAAAGTGCATCCGTGATAATACATGGCATGTAATTCAAGATAGAGACAGTTGGCCAGCATATGCCATGGGTTTGACACTAACTCTACAGTAGTTTAAGACATATGGAATCTTACAGTAAAGGAGAATTGAGGTGCACAAACACCACGAACGAACGCACACACAAACAATACATATTTTGACAGTAGGTACACTGATATAATATTGCCATTAAAAAGTTTAGCTTAGGAGTTCAAAGCCCCGGAGGGGAATATGCTGCTTTAGGCTAGTTATAGGAGACGCTGGCATAAGTAAGAAAGTGCTAAAAATGTCAATGTGTCTCCTTTACTTTGCTACAGCATTAACCAACCATGGCAATGAGTGTAAGTAGCTCAAACATCACATTGCTCTTCAGACCCTGTAAACACCTAGAAATGTTTTCTCTAATGTCTGAAATGTACAATGTAAAACTGTGGGAGGCTGGCTGTTGTTCTGTTTTGCTCTTAGAGACAGCAGTATACAGCATCATCATGATCACTGATGTTGTTCCTTCAGCTTCTGTGCTTGTCTTCGAATGTGGCAGTAGCAGAGCGGGGTTGATATGTCGTTTTCTCCTTCTGTAGTTCAGAAGTCTGAGGTAAGAGGTCCGTGGTTAAGGGCTCAGCCATCTCTGCCTCTCCTTCACTTCCTCTTCTCCTTCTCTTCCTCTCTCACCAGGAAAGGAACCAGTCGGTATCATGACCTACACTCAGCGAGACATCATACGCACAAACTCTGAGGGAGATTCATAAAAGAGAGAGATTAATAAAACAGAGGGAGATTAATACAACAACTTGATTCACATAAAGTGTAGGGGCTGATCCCCAACTGGCAAATTTGGCCCACGGGTGATTTTATTTGCCCCCCCCCCCCCCCCCTCCCATAAAAGACTGTAAAAACACCAGCAGATCAGCTCCAAGTGATTTTAATTTTGGAAATCTGTTCCAAAGTATTCCCACGCATAACAGAGAGATACTGTATATGTGATCGTAAACAAATGTAAGCAATGTTTGAATAGCCTTCTTGCGGTCAATTTGCAGTCTTCAAATTATTTGTAATTATGTTCTGGCCCCCTGACCATCCGCTCAGGAATAAATCGTCCGGCGGCTGAATCTAGTTGATGATCCCTGCCCTAAAGTGTAGGGAATACATGGTACTGAAGGTCACAGTGCTTTTAAGAACTGTATGTCCTGCTATCAACCAATAAAAATAAATACATTTTCATAGGAACGATTCTATTTCTAAATGAGCACTGTGGATTATAAATATGAATGTATTTAGAGCGTAAAACACGTGGGCGAAGCTAACGTTTGGAGAAAGCAGAACGTACGGATGGCTCTAGTAAGAATAGCAGCACATTGCTATTTTTGTCCCACTGGTAGTATGCTTCCCTTGTTCTCTTGGTAATCTATGAGGTGAAATAATCCTTTGGTGTGGGGATAATCTGACAGACAGCCCGACTCCCTTCATCCTCCCACCTCACTCTCAGGATGGTGCTAGAGTATCAGCCTGCCTCAAACTGTATGCGTGGGGATCGGCACTGAGAGAGCGTGTATATGCATGTGCTTGGGTATGTGTGTGTGTGACGGATATTATTGGCATAGCCGCTGGAAGTAGGGGTGCTGAGGGTGCTGCAGCACCTCCTGAAAAATTGGAATAAAAAAAATATATATATTAGCGGCCCAATATATCCGTCTGCACCGCCAGCGCTGGCAAAAAGATTTGTTTCATGTGTTTCATACCATTCCATTTATTCCATTCCAGCCATTACAATGAGCCCGTCCTCATATAGCTCCTCCAACAGCCTCCTCTGGACTGTATATATGAATGGACAAAGCCATCAATCATGTGACACCATTCATTCCTATGTGAAGACTCAATAGCGCATTGAAGCCAAATGAAGTCGGTTTAGATGGCATCTCATGGAGACATAACATGCGCAGTTTGAGCTACTCCAGGAAGTGACGTTGCAGGCTAGCTCAGTGCTGCCCCCTCTCATTGAGTAACTCAAATTGAAGGCTGACCGGGTACTGCAGGCTGCCATTAGCAACTAAGTGATCCTTATAACTTCTTCTGTGTGCGATTTTTAAATAATTGGTTCAAGGACCTACATCTGGTGTATTAGAAGCAATTATTGGTACCATGATTGTCTTAGAATTTCTTTTTTATTTACACAAAGTTTGACCACGAAGATTGTCATTTTTCCATATACCATAATGGGGCATCCTGTTTTCTGCAATACCACAGTCGGCGTTGAACTTCTGTGGCTTCAATGACAGGGGGCTGTGTCTCCCCTGATATGAACAGTGGACCATGACAGGGTTTTGTCAAGCGCTGCAATATCATTCAACGAAATAATAACGAAGATAATACCTGTCAAATAATATCCTACAAGGAGGTGTCTTAGAACCCACTGAGATACTGTAGCTCACCTTCAAAGTCTACATGGCCATCTCCATTCAGGTCAATGTCCCGAAGGATGTCCTCTAGGTCTCTATGACCAACCTAGCAAAATAGGTTAAAGAACCGAGAAATATCACTACTCAGATGTAGGCTACAGTGAGGCAGGATCAGACAGATGCGTGGACAGGTTGAGTGAAAGATGGAGAAACTCACAAACAGAAAGACTACTTTTCTTACCTGTTGACCTAGAAGTTTCTTCATTGCTTCTCTGAGTTCCGATGTGCTGATCTGGCCATCACCATTGGTGTCAAACTGAGAGAGAAGGAGAGAATATAATAATTAATAATGAACTAGTTCATCATGCAGTATTGTATTCTGCTCTTTCCCCAATACCGTCGTCTCTCCTAATGAGTTCCCCATGCACATGAATGCTTCTCCTCACTTAATCAAATATATTTTAGCTTAAATCTTTCTAGCTTTCTTTCATCCCCTTTGGATTTTGTTCTTTCTTTCTCTATTATCTAATTTATGTGTAAAAAAATAATTTCTATCTCTCTCTGTCTTATTTTTCCATTCTCTCTCCATCTCTTATCCTCACCTCTTTGAAAGCATCCCTCAGCTCCTTGACCCCGATCATATCTGCTGTTTCAGCCAGAAGTTTGGGCCCCATCAACTCCACAAAGTCCTCAAAGTCAACATGTCCTCCCACTGTGTGATGAAGAGTAAACGTGGGTTGAAGGATGTCAGAAATAAATTCACAAAACATGTCATAAGAATACATCTACAGGGGCGTTTGTACAATGACAGAAATATGCAGCCTTGAAAGAGGTGAGTGAGAGAAAAGACTGGCAAGATTTAAGCTACTGTCGTGTCTACAGCACCATATTCAGTCATAATTTTTCTCCAAGCCCAGATAGTATTTATAGAACGGGATGTTATGTTCTTTTCAGGGTTAATTGTTAAAAGGGATCTACATCAGGGGTATTGAATGTTCAGAGGCCCCGTGTGTAATGGTGTGTGCAAGTGTCTTTTAGTGTGTGTTAGTGGAAGGGGACGGGCGGAGGACAGTGGGGGAGAGAGAGAGCATGAATTAGAGATAGAGAGAAAGAAGGAAGAAAGGTCATAATATGAGAGCGTAACAAAAGAGAAAAGGATAGAGAAAAATGCAAGAGCAGTATCATAGAAAAAAGGAATGCAGGAACTCCCATAATGCTCCCTTTTATAGACACACATACCATACGTACGGTTACTCACAGTTCATGTTGATCTGCTGGCTCAGTTCTATCAGCTCCATCTCAGTAGGCATGTAGCCCATAGTTCTCATGCAGTTGCCCAGGTCTTTACAGCCGATGAAGCCATCTTTGTCTTTGTCAAACTCCTTAAAAGCCTCGCGCAACTCTGAGAGAGGAAAGCACAGATGGAGAAGATCAATTGTGCTTTTTAAACACATTATAAAAACCATCAGTTGGCTTATTGTTTTAAGTACTACAATGAGTGTGGTGTTATAATAAGCACGAGAGTGAGGGAGAGGGAGGGTGAGAGATAACCTTGAAACAGTCCACAGGCTCAATTATAATTTTTGGTAGAAAATATTCCAATCAAAGGCACTCAACATGAGAATGACATTTTACCAAAGTCAGGCAGATCCTTTGTTGTATGGCTCTAAACCAGTGAAGACTGCTCAATGACTGTATATATGAATGTACAAAGCCATCGATCGAGCAACGCAATTGAAGGCCGACCGGGGTACTGCAGGCTGCCATTAGCAACTAAATTATCCTTATAACTTCTATGTGCGATTTTAAATAATTGATTCAAGGACATACATCTGGTGTATTAGAAGTAATTATTGCTACCATGATTGCCTTCAAATGTTTGTTTTTTTACACGAAGATTGCCATTTTTCCATTCACTATAATGGGGGACCTTGTTTTCTGCTAACAATGCCTGCAGTACCACGGTCAGCCTTGGACTTCCGTGGCTTCAATGAGAGGGGGCAGTTGTTCTCCTCTGGGACTGCTATAGTCCAATATGCAATATGAAGGCTGATTGTAATTCATACTGTTTGCTCCTGTATAATGAGACTTACCATCCATCTCCTCCGGCCTCAGCTCTCTATCCTGTAAAGAATCACAAGGCAGGGTTACGATCCTGCAAGTGGCATTCTACAAGTGATGACTCATGACACTACAAAACTCTTGTGTGAGATATCATCAACGTAACAATCGTAATACATCATAGAGTACTTTTGTTATGTGTGCAACCACTGTTTTTGGTGTTAAATCATGTAATGATGAACCCAAATGCAACTTAGTTTAGAGCATTTGTTTGATGGTTGAGTAGCCTATCTATTTAGCTGAGAGGTGCATGCCACCTTTGAGGGTTGGTGGTGAGTCCTGGGGGAACATAGAATGAAGGAGTTCCTTTTGGTCTCTCTCACGTTTAACGTCTAGCCTTTGAATTAGCTCGACCCCACCTCCACCCCTGCATCCCCTAATAGCATCACAGAACAGAACACATCATCATGACAGGCTATGAACGGTGCCAGTCTACCAAGGAGAGGTCAGTGCACATCTTCCCTTAATGACAAGGCCTTGCTACTGACTCTACTGATCACAGTGAGGCTGAGACAGATGAAGACAGATGACCCTGTTGCTGCTCCACACAGACTTTAGCAATCAGTCTAACATTCCGTCAAGGTAATACTACATCGAACACAATGACTTACATTCTATCAGAGTGGCACAAATGGCAGTGAGAGCTAACACTCACACAGTCGCACACGCTTATCTTCACACCAACTGACAGGCATTCTATATGTAGGTTACTGCAGATATTATGAGTCCATTACCTTCTTCTTTGAGTCCATAAGGAGTGTATTGGTCAACATGGGTGAAAAAGAAGCAGACAAAGACAGAATGTCTGTATGATTGTGTGTAAGTTTGTATGAACATTTCTGTTTTCTTATGTGTAGCTACAAACTGTAAATGTGTCTCTGCATGCATAATGGGCATACAGTGGGGAAAAACGTATTTAGTCAGCCACCAATTGTGCAAGTTCTCCCACTTAAAAAGATGAGAGAGGCCTGTAATTTTCATCATAGGTACACGTCAACTATGACAGACAAAATGAGAAATAAAATCCAGAAAATCACATTGTAGGATTTTATATGAATTTATTTGCAAATTATGGTGGAAAATAAGTATTTGGTCAATAACAAAAGTTTTTCAATACTTTGTTATATACCCTTTGTTGGCAATGACACAGGTCAAATGTTTTCTGTAAGTCTTCACAAGGTTTTCACACACTGTTGCTGGTATTTTGGCCCATTCCTCCATGCAGATCTCCTCTAGAGCAGTGATGTTTTGGGGCTGTCGCTGGGCAACACGGACTTTCAACTCCCTCCAAAGATTTTCTATGGGGTTGAGATCTGGAGACTGGCTAGGCCACTCCAGGACCTTGAAATGCTTCTTACGAAGCCACTCCTTCGTTGCCCGGGCGGTGTGTTTGGGATCATTGTCATGCTGAAAGACCCAGCCACGTTTCATCTTCAATGCCCTTGCTGATGGAAGGAGGTTTTCACTCAAAATCTCACGATACATGGCCCCATTCATTCTTTCCTTTACACGGATCAGTCGTCCTGGTCCCTTTGCAGAAAAACAGCCCCAAAGCATGATGTTTCCACCCCCATGCTTCACAGTAGGTATGGTGTTCTTTGGATGCAACTCAGCATTCTTTGTCCTCCAAACACGACGAGTTGAGTTTTTACCAAAAAGTTATATTTTGGTTTCATCTGACATTCTCCCAATCCTCTTCTGGATCATCCAAATGCACTCTAGCAAACTTCAGACGGGCCTGGACATGTACTGGCTTAAGCAGGGGGACACGTCTGGCACTGCAGGATTTGAGTCCCTGGCGGCGTAGTGTGTTACTGATGGTAGGCTTTGTTACTTTGGTCCCAGCTCTCTGCAGGTCATTCACTAGGTCCCCCCGTGTGGTTCTGGGATTTTAGCTCACCGTTTTTGTGATCATTTTGACCCCACGGGGTGAGATCTTGCGTGGAGCCCCAGATCGAGGGAGATTATCAGTGGTCTTGTATGTCTTCCATTTCCTAATAATTGCTCCCACAGTTGATTTCTTCAAACCAAGCTGCTTACCTATTGCAGATTCAGTCTTCCCAGCCTGGTGCAGGTCTACAATTTTGTTTCTGGTGTCCTTTGACAGCTCTTTGGTCTTGGCCATAGTGGAGTTTGGAGTGTGACTGTTTGAGGTTGTGGACAGGTGTCTTTTATACTGATAACAAGTTCAAACAGGTGCCATTAATACAGGTAACGAGTGGAGGACAGAGGAGCCTCTTAAAGAAGAAGTTACAGGTCTGTGAGAGCCAGAAATCTTGCTTGTTTGTAGATGACCAAATACTTATTTTCCACCATAATTAGCAAATAAATTCATTAAAAATCCTTCAATGTGATTTTCTGGATTTTTTTTTCTCAATTTGTCTGTCATAGTTGACGTGTACCTATGATGAAAATTACAGGCCTCTCTCATCTTTTTAAGTGGGAGAACTTGCACAATTGGTGGCTGACTAAATACTTTTTTTCCCCACTGTATGTCTGTTTGTGTCTGGACTTACGTACAGCCTGCCGGCTCTCAGCGAAGCCCTTGCGTAGAAAGATACAGGCAGGCCCCAGTATGTTGTGCATGTTGCCTCCGTTCTGAGCCATAGCCACTAGTGGCTCAAGATAGGCACCCCCAGTCCCCTCCTCACAGGACTGCACTGCTCTGTAGTTCTTCTTCTGGTCCTGGGGTCACAGATATCCATGGTGTGGGGCCATGAGATAGAGGCGCAAGGGCAGAGACATGGATACAGACTGTGACTCAGCTTGTGGATGGACAACATGGAGTCAGTCAACAACAAGGGGCTAGCTGGTATGAGGGTGGGTGGATGGAAGTGGAGGTGGTGGTGGAGAGGCTGAGAACATGTCTGTTAGTCCCTGTGAGTAAGGTCAGAGGTCAGGATAGTAATGGGGCTAGTCAAGGTGTCAGTCATGTGGAAGGAACACAGTCAGGGGTTGGGTTCAGTGAACGGGGCAATGAATGCCACCCATCCATCCATCCATCCATCCCAAAGATGCTCTCCATACAGCTGAGGACACTTATTTGACTCAGCACACTGCTAGGGTTAGATAATCAAAGAGACACAACAGCTAACTAAGACAATCAGCCCAATCCAAGAGAAGGCACGCAGGAAGACCCAAACAAATATCTGCAAGCCATTCTGCTTTTGACATAGGCACAGTGTAATAGTGGTAGAATGATCACTGTGCAAGGTACCCAGACAATGGTCACACTAATTATTGGTTAAAAATGTAGGGTTGTCAATACATAATTTTGTCTAAACACACAGTCCAGTTATCCTTTAAATACAGGGTTTTATTCATGACAGAAAAGCCACACGCATATAAAAGAGACAGATGGCTTTGTGCTCATTCCAATTAGCCTTTGTCCCAATGATGGAAAGAATGAAATCCATCCAGCCATTACATTATAATGACTAATTAGTCTGTGGACCCGGGGGCAGTGACAGGCCACACAATGCACAGACCCAATTACAGACAGAGCCACAGGTTAATTAAATAGGAAGGGAACATCGGCCACTATTAGAAACCTTTAAAAGTAAAAAATAAGGGCCAACCTTTCTGTAGTGTAATGACAGACAAACAGGAAAGTGGCATCAGTGGACAGAGAGGAGCTGTGGTAAGAGACTGGAATGCTGTCTGGCTTATGACAGAAAGTGTCACTATACATGGAACACTGAGCAGTCAACTTAAAGTGGAACTGACAGCATTGTTGGCAGAACAGATGGATGCAGTTCAATGTATGATTAATATAATTCACCAATACATTTCTTGGTAGTCCAAAAAATATTGCTATCAGGTTGGTACATTGTTTGCTGCCTCCATTCGGGATGCACTGTTTCAGTTTCAATGACTCAATATTTTGATAAAAACTGACAAATGTAACGAAGGCTGGGAATGTCAATACAATCAGACTAGCAAGGGCAATGATCACAAGTCAGACATAACGTGGCTAACAGGCTAGCTTATCTATTTATGTAGCAAGCTAAAAACACGGAGCCTAACGTTAGCTAGATAGCTAGCTAGCTAGCTGCTAGGAGGATGTCATGTCATGTCATTGGAGGAGTGGGTAACTGACTGACTTTTTCCCCTCATATCATTTTTCGGTGGCTATTCACAGCTAGAGATGCAGGTGTCATTTGGTTAGCTAGCACGAACTTGAACAACTGTTATCCAGTTAGCATATCTCTTGCGTTCGCAAATTCAATCTGGCTATCTACTCCGATTTCATAGCCCTCTCGTCTGAGTGCCAGAGCCCAGAATAACTGATGAATTTACGAACGCGCAACACCAGCTGAATATGATCGGTATCAGTAAACATAGGCAAAAAAAGTAATAGTTAGTCACGAACACTCTAGATAACATGTAAACAGCCTAACCAACTCTGCTAGGGCGAGTAAAATGGTCAGAGTGAGGTGTTCTCTCATTTGTGTCTGTAAGTAGCTAGCTAGCAAGCTAGCCAACTTCAGCCAGTTAGCTTGGGTACTTGGTTGTGACAAGCATGCATTGGCAGACATGCTGCAGAAGGACGAGTAGGCTACAATTCCCCATCGTTTGTCAGTGCAATTTTGACGGCCATCTAGCTGAAAAGGTTTGAGAGGGTTTATCTAATGTTCCTTCATTAGATTTTAGCTGATCTTGCTCTGGCTAGCATTAGTTGTGGTTGTTGTTGTTGTTGTTGTGCGTAACTGAGGGAGAGCGAGCCTACCTTTTCATGTTGTTTGATCAATAGGACTGTAAAGTTCCCAAATGTAAGAGGACTCCCGTGGTATTTAGATATTTGCAGAAATCCATTCAGGTGTATTTTGTGACATTTGGTGAATGCGTTCTAATGATCTAAAGTTGTGATGTTTTTACTGCCTGTAAACACACACTCCAGTTCAAAGTGAATGATGGCAGGCCTGTGTGGCAAATGGCTTGCTTGCAGTATGAATAATAATAATAATAATAATAATAATAATAATAATAATGTAAATGACATT